TTTATTTTTTGAACTACAGACAACACTCTGATGACGCGCTATAAGAAACTCAGAATTAGTATTAATCACATAATTTATACCGTGTTATATAGAGACAAATAAATACAAAAGGCAGGATAAATTACAAATTGATTTTATTGAATTGAAGAGTTCACATAAGGGTATGATAAAAAATAAAAATTACATTTTATTCAATTGAAGATTTTTTATAAAGATATGATAAAAATGAAACAAAAGCTAAACAAAAAAATAATTTTTTAAAAAACGAAAAATTCAAACGAAATTAAAAGACTATCGTTCTGTGATAGAGCTCTGACACTACTAAGATTTAAACTGGCATGTTTATATAAATATTTTGTGGATGAATTAATTGATAATAAGTTTTTAGTGAAAAAATTACGAAATATCACATAAAGAAAGGGACGGTCTAGTAACTTATCACGTGTATTTCTTTAACCTGAATTTGAAAAAAAACTCCATTTTTTTTTAAAAAAAAGTCAATGCGTTTTTTTCTAGGTACTAAAAGGAGAATTAATTTTAAATAGCACCACGTACTATTTAACTGGTGAGGGTGGGTCCAAAAATCCTTAGAAATCGTTCAAGTGATTAATGAACTGCTCCTTATTAGTTTACAACGAGATCAGACGAAAACTTTCAGAATTGTGAACGTGTACAGTATATAAGTTATAACCCATCGTCTCTTAATTATTTATTAATATAAATTGCAGTTGTCATAAACAGTGAATTTGGCTGCAAATGTATTAATTGCTAAATGGCAAATTCATACCTTTCTCATGGAGAAAATCATTGTAAATTGATCAGGCGCAATTAATGGCTGAACACTTCATAAGACAACGTCCATTAATCACGAATTATCACAAAAAATCACTTGGGGGAGGAAGGGGTCTAGTAAGATATCACGTTATTTTTTATCTAAATTTTCAAAAAAAAAATCTAAAATTATACATTTTTTTTTGTAAATTCGAAAAATTTTACGTAACTAAAAATACACGTGATTTTTAATGGGGGGGGGTTAATTTTAAATATCACGAGGTATCACTAAGAGGGAAGAGAGTTAAAAAATCCCTCAAAAATCGATCACGTGATTAATAGACGCCCCCTAATATGCATTTTGTTTTTGTAATTAAAAGTTGTTTTATATAATAATGGAAATATACTCATTACTAAGTTCTAAATTAGCTACATAATAACTAGTCAACATTAGAATAAGTTTAAATTCAAAAATAAATTTGTAAATTAGTGTTATCGATTTGTTGTTATAATTAACTTTTAAAATTTCTGCCTGAAATCCAGGCAAAATTTATTTCTTGTCTAAATATAAGCGCTACCTTTCGCACGTTTCTGACAATATAGACTTATCATTTGAATTGAATTTTGAAACACTATATTTAATTGATTGAACAAAGAATGTGACTAAATCATATTGCATCAAGAATTTTTTTTAAATGTCAAACTACGTTAGACAATCTTAATAATAATGTACATATAATCTGGCTCGCTAATTACTTGCATTAAATATAATAAAAATAGAGCACTGCTTATAACACACGTAAAATTTTCAAATAAGTATAGAATACATTTAGCAAATATGGATAATTTAAACATATTTTAATGCATTCATTGCATACTACATTTTATAGTACATGCTTTACTTTGAAATCTTGCTTTAATGCTAAATTTATTCCAAAAATCGAATATCACCCATGTATGTTTTAAAGTCTTGTGTATTGGTTACATCAACTTAATATATTTTTTTTACCTAAAATCTTATTATCATAATTCCAGTTTCAACATCTGCCACATGTTAATTTCTCTATATAAAATATTATAAATAAAATATGTGGAATATTTACCTGTGCCTCGGATATGTGATTTACTTTCAAAGAAATTGTATGTAATGTTATATGCATGTTCTTATTTATGAGAATCCTTATAAAGACCTTTTCGAATCCGAATATTCAATTTCTGTTATATTTTCTCGTTGAACACGCAAAATCTACAAATTGCATAAAAAAATGTTAATCTTGTATTTTTTCAGGCATCATTAACATAGTCTGCTGTACACATTATCAAATTAATTGAGTTAATTGAGTATTCAAAAATTTACACAAGAAAATTACATTACTCTCCTATAATTAATACAATTATATATAGGATAGAACGGGGCACAAAGGTCCAATTTGATTTTCAATAATAATACTGTCTGAACTAAATGACAGCACAAAGCATGTTTCAAACAAACAACTGTTAAACTATTTAACTCAGTAAAATTCCCAATTAACTTTTTATTACAGAAATATGTTTTCTTACTTTTTTCTAAAATTTGTCCTCTGCTCTTTTTTGCCCCAAAGACGGTATAAAAAGAGACAGACAGAGGATAAACGAATCCAACTTCTTTTTTATTTTAAAAGGTATTTTACGAAATAAAAGCTGCATTCGCTGCATTATTCAATCAATGTGAAATACAAATATTAAGAGATTTAATTTATATCTCATTATTATTATTATTATTTCATTGTTTACAAAGATTTCATTGTATATAACCTTGATCTGGTGTTCCGGAAGAAATATTCATAAGCAGAGGTCGAAGAACTACTAATTTGATTTATCTCTTGTAAAGTTGCTTTTTTAACTTAGTTTTTCACTCGACCCACATGTAAGCTTTTATAGAGATTATATGAAAAAACTGTTGAAGCTACTTAAAAATAACAATACACCTTACTTTACAGAATACTTAAATAACATTTTATATTATAACTTTTAAGTATACTTATATATGTACTGCAATATAATTATATTCAGGTATCATAAACTAATCAGAAAAGCTCAAAACCAAAAAAACTAACAACAACAAAAAAATGGTATAAATATTGATACATTTCCGTTTAACTCCTGATAGCGACATTTTAAGAATTGAGGAGATGCTGGTCTTTTGCCTTCTACTTTAAAATATTCTATGATTTGCTTGTTTTTGAGATAATAATGATGGGCCTTTTAACCCGCGCACCCTCAAGCCCCGCTTCACTCTATATATGTATACATATAAAATTATTACTTACGTTGTCAATTAATATTTTATCTATAGAATTCTATAGGTGTTATCTATAGAATTTTTTTTATACATTAATAATATATAAACTAAACTTATGTAACAATCTTAAATGATTATATTTTATTGCTTTTCTTTAATTAAGAAAACTCACTACATTTATAACACAATTATTCATTATGGAATTAATAGAAATGTTTATTATCTTTGAGCTTTATATAAAAGTTAATATAATAATCATATATTTTATTTAAACATCTCTATTAGATTATGTCGTTTTATATAATTTGTCTTTTAAGTACGTTCTATATGGACTATATATCTATTCTAATCTAGTTTTAATTATAATAGTAGCAGACTATTAAATAAGTACAATTTGTTATTGCATTGAGATGCACCAAGTGCACCCAAAGAGAAATAATAATCAATTATATCGTTTATAAACAAAAATTAAGCCGTTTATTTCTATGAACACAGTAAAAGTGCTTAATAATATATAACTAGATCTTGACGAAGTGTTCTTATCAATAATGTATTATACACAACAGCTCGCTTCTTAATATAGTAATCCTCTAAAATCTCGAAACATTTTTTTTCAATTTTTTATGGCACGTTAGCACTAAAACAGTTTTATCTTTACCTTTTAAACATGTGTATGCTCATTAAAATGTACTATTTTTAAAAACAACTAACAATGTAAAAGTGAATATAAGGAAACTAAAGTCCAGGCTAAAGTTAAATAGTGTTTTATATAAATAAAAATTACAATACTGACTTAAGATTAAGTTGAAATTTAATGTTTCGTGTTTTTTTTTTTGCTTATATTTTGCAAGCTTTCATACCAGTTCCATTTAAATTCACGATTATATTGGTTAAATCATCACAATTTCGTAGACCGAAGCGCCTATCAAGTATCATTTTGAAGAAGTTATATATTTGTGTTCAAAATATAACAAATATTTCTTCACGTAGAAATAGTTTTGTGTGCACACAATGTACTCAAAAGCGCTTAGAAGCATTTTTCGATTAAACCGTTTTATTACAATTTAATGAGAAAAAATGAGAATAATTTTTTACGCGCAAATGATCATATTTTAGAAAAAATTATCTGAATCGTCTCAAATTAGATTTAGAATGCAGGTTCATAAACTGCAAGTTGCATTGCTAATATATATTTTTATTAGCCCATTCGTCGAAATAAAAAAAAAGTTTAGAAAAAATAATTTTCTTTATTGCTATACATTTCAACACTGGATGTGCGTCATTCAGTAGATATCAAATGATAGTTAAATGTCACTATCGGTAGCATGATTTCATGTTCCATAATGAATTTAAATAATAGAATTCTCCTTTTTCTTATAATTCTTTTTTTGTGCTAAATTTCCTTTAAAAAAATATTTTTGTTTAAGATTTTATCATGCTCTTAACCTGGTTATTACTGAATGCTGACACACATCAAGTGTCGAAACGTATAGCAATAAAGAAAATTATTTCTAATTTTTTTTTCAAATATGTTTCAGAGTCGAAAAAACTATCAAGATATATATATATATTATATATATATACATATATATACATATATATATTTAATTATACCAACTGACTATTAACGGTTTGGAAGCGCCTATTAAGTATAACAATCATAAAACTTACATACTTTTTTACAGGTGTTTTTGAAGATCAAATCTTGTAAACTTTTTTATCAAACATGGATTACATTTTCAAAATATGTGTGGCCATATAATCATTTACACAATCAATGATAATCGAATGAATTAAAATTAACCAGAAACGAGGTTAAAAAATATGAGAAATTAAGTTTGTGTTAGTTTTTCTTAAAAAATGGTCAACATTCAATACAATTAATATTTCTTAATAATAATAATAACTGTTTTCAAAAGCGTTTTAATTTTTAATTAAAATGCCCTCTTCAAATTTTACATATTAAGTATACGCCAAAACAATTATCATTAGTAATATTAATCACTTTCAAACATTCTTTTAATTGATTCGAATCAATTTCAGAAACTGATTATCAATTAAAATATATTTGCAACAAATTTTCCTTATACTAAACTTCTTGTTCATTGTTTCGGATCGTGGTATATTGAACTTTTTTAGAAACGGTTTCTATCACAGGAGTAAATGCTAATTTCAACTTATCTCTGCTCATGTAGCCCAGAGCGACGACAAGTCCAGAAAGAATGACTATTAAAATAATCAGCATAAAAGTCACGGTAGATATTTTACTCGTATCGTGCACTACAGATTGAGCTTTTCGACATTTATCGACGGATAGGCTGATCAATGCTTCCCCGCCATGCTTTTGGGCGCGATGACACCGTAAAGACTCCTTGTTCCTGACGGTAACATTAGTTCGGAACAGCCATGAATAAAACTCGCTAACAATGCAATCACATCGGAAAGGGTTGCCGCCAACATCGATGACCAACTGCTCTTCTCGGCCAGCAGCATTCACCTGGTCCAGGGTGAGCAGGTCACGCTTCTTGAAGTATTCGATTTTATTCCGTTCCAAATCAAGAAACCGTAAATTCTTAAGACACAAAAAGTTAAAGTCTATCTCTGATAAATAATTATCACCCAAATGCAAATCTCGCAGACTAGGTAAATCGCAGAAAACTCTTTTGTCTCCAAAATTTAATATTTCATTTTGTTCCAAGTGAAGTTTTCTCAAATGCGTTAGATTACTGTTGACAAATATATTATGAAGATCGTTAGCTAATTCTGCGTCTGTATTATCAGCAAATGCATTCGTCAAATGTAACTCCATAAGATTAATAAAATTGGAAAATACTCTAGGATGGTGATGATTGTCTTCATCCGAATCCGGGGAAATACTTAAGTCGTTATGATTCAAAATTAAACGCTGAACATTTTTCACGTGATGATAAGCTTTTCCCGGAATATCTTTTATGCGATTATTGGACATATCCACTATTCTCAGATGTTCCAATTCGGTAAGAGCACCAAACACATTCCATGGAAGCTCTGGAATATTATTACCTGTGAAAATGAGCACTTCTGTCGCTTCTGGTAGATTTTCCAAGACCTTTGTGTCTTCAAATCCTGTATTCGTACAGTTCACAACATATTGCTCGCGATCACCATAAGTCGTCAAACCACATATGCATTTGCCATTGAATAATTTTCCACATCCTCCATCTAATGCTGATGCTTCATATAAAGATATCAGCAATAATACTAATCGTATGAACCTCGCCATTAAAATGAGTTATCTAAAACAAAAAAACTTTTATATATAAGGCGAATAAGTAATATTTCAAACATTAATGACACTAAAACTAATAATACATAATTATTTGTTTTCTATAGAAGTTTACCGAATAAATTTCCTACTCCAATATGTGGAGTGAATCACGGACTACTCTCTACGGAAGCCAACACAACCGAAGCAAGTATCCTAACGTTTGCTTGCATATAGAATATTTTTAATTTGTAATTTTCCTATAAACAAATATAAGCATAACTTTGCGTATTTACTTTGCCTATCGTCAACAATTATTTACTGCACAATTTTATCTTGTATTTATTATTATTAATATGTTATTTATATAAGATTATATACGAAACTATACGACAACATGTGATATTATTAGAAATGTTTTATCTAGCTATTTTAATTATGACTCAAGTAATAACAAATGCCAATATACTGATATTGTTCACAATAGAATTACAGTAGAAATCGCAAATAATAGTTAAAACCTAATTAGAATTGCAAATTTTATATCAATTCATTAATTCGAAGCGTGTACAGATGTAGCGTTCATATAATCCAAATCGTATTTTGCAACAACATAATTCGAGGAAGAGGAAAAAGTTACAGTATTAATCAATTTCATTATTTATATATATATATATATATATATATATATATATATAAATTTATATATATTAGGGTGGTCCTTAATATGGACATTTTCGAATGCTTCGAAATTGTTAAAAAAAATCTCTATAAGTTTTAGCTCTTAATATTGTCTTTTAAATAATGCGCAATTCAAAAGTTTTGTATGGAAATAGCATGTGAAAATTTTCAAAAATTTTAAAAATGTTTTTTTGATATAACTTAGCAAACAAATGAATAAGTTTTATTCAAAATTCGACGCTCTACAAAACAAATTATAAAAAACCTGTTTTGCAGAGCGTCAAACTTTCAATTCATGTCACTTTTAATTCATTTGTCGTTATACCTAAAAAACATTTTTAAAATTTTCGAAATTTTTCATGCTATTTCCATACGAAGCTTTGATTGAATTGCGCACTATCTAAAAGTTAATATTAAAAGCTAAAACTTTTAGACATTTTTTTATCAATTTGTTAGCATTTAAGCACCTGGGAGCAATAAAATACAAAAAAGTCCATATTAAGGACCACCCTAATATATACAATTTAATATTAAATGTATAACCAACAATTGAATATATATGAGTAATATAGTTAAGTCACAGTCAGATACAAAGTTCAGTAGCACGGAGCATGCTTTATCATATCAAGCATTTACTACGTATTTTGATAAATAATTGGATTATTAGCTATTAGCCTAAAATACTTTTCAAAATCTAAATGAATGTATAAGATCTTCTACGTATTGTCAGTATTCTTATTTACATAAAAAACGTGGTGGTCAAAGGAAGAACATTTATACAGATTTTGTTTATCTTGAAATTGTACGCAGTCGCACGTATGTGATAATTATTATAGTCGAAGTATTTGGAAAGCATTGTATTGTTTCTTATATATTTTACCATGAGTGAATTTTACCAATAGATGTTTTATTCGCAAATTTTTAATAAAGATTTGATTAATTTTAATTTTTTTATTAATATATTTATTATATCTACTTCCACTATACGTTAGAAAATTGAGTGATAGTTAGTGCCCAAAGTTTCATGATACTTCTGAATTTGCCAATTTCGATATCAAACAATACTTTTATAATGAAATTACTACTGATAATATCTGATATAACTTTTCTTTCAACAGTTACAATTATTTTTTCCTGTTTCTATATTTTTTCTAATTTTTATTCCAAATTATTTTAACATTTTCCCACCAAAAGGATTTTATCATTACAATTATTTTCATATTATATTCTTTTCTTGCTATTACTGCTATTAATTATTATTTTTCAGATTTGGGACTTAAAACATTTTTTTTATCATCAGAAGAATCTCAAGTCAATGTCATACCGTTTTTTCTTCAAGTTGCACTACATAATACTAATGCTAGACTTAATATTGTTTTAGGGTTGTATTTTACTGCAATTAATTCAATTAAAATAATTTGTTTTCTGTAATTACTAAATTTAATCCTTTATCCGAAATATAAATAAATGAATTATAAATAAAATTAAGCCACTCATCATATTATATTAATGACATGCATATTGTTGATAGAAAATATTGTATTACTTATAATAAAGTAAATATTTAATAATAACATACAAGTGTTAATACGAACTAAGTGTTTGAAGAAAGTTGAAAAAAATTTCTTTGCATAAAATTACTTTCAATGCATCAAAATAAGTCAAAGTAACAAAACTAAGCATTCTATTTCCTAATTATGTATATTAAAATTCATGAAATTCATAAATTTGGTCAAAATTTTAAATGCGATTGGTTCCAAAATTATTCAACTATATTTTTCTTATTATAGGCTAAAACTTGCCGCGTCTCTATTAGAATTTAGAAATATTCGAAATATTAAAGTCTTGAAAATAATCATATTAGACAAATCGATATAAAAATAACAGTATGCATAATAATAAATAAATATTTTTATAAAATTAAATACAGCGACAACATGTTAATCATTTGAAATCTAAAATCTCATATCAAATTCTGCAATCATTTTCTTAATTAATGCAAAATTATTTTTAATGTTACAGATATAATTTTTAAAAATGCTAGATTTTTAATTAACATTGAATTTTATTTTCATGGATCGATGCTACTACGGATTCATTTGAATTATTGACTTGTACTTTTAATTTTTAAGTTAAGGTAATTTAGACATATATACTGTAAAACTAAATAGTTTGATCGTTTAAATATTTACATTCATAATCTAGCTCTTCAAGAAATATTTTTATCTAAATTATTGAATCACAATTTTGTTTAAAAATGCATTTCGACCAGTACGTCGATATTTAATAATATGTAATTTTGTGTGTCCTTTATCTATTTGTGATTGAAATAATAATTTTGAGCGCTGTATCATATTTCGCGACCAACGACAATTATTTTACAAGAATTGGAACTATTTCTTTGTTTTATTTTATAGAAATACGAATAATTCCAGCCCATAATATGTTTCTAGACATGCATTTTTAAAGAAGCATATTAAAAAAAGTAACATTGATGAAACATATATTCATCTCACTAAGAGTCTTCTAGATTACTCTATTTTGTAATAGCATTGCACATTCTCATATATCATTCACTGTAGTAAAAAAGTAATCAAGTTTCCATTTCCGTTCACAAAGTTAATAAGAAATTCGATTTCTTTGGTTTTCTACATATTTTAATTCTAAAATGCTGGATAAAAAATTACTTGAAACATATTAAATTACTAGATAAAAATTTCGCATAAGAAATTAAAATCATTTATTTGAATCATGCAGTACGTTTTGAAAAATCACAATATGGGTACCAAATTTAAACTTTTAGGAACAAAAATTATGCACATTGTGAAATTTCTATAAAACGTTGTGATCAGTGATCATTTGTTAAATGGCATATTTTTGGCCTATGTGTTAAACAACTAAATCTTAAGAATTTATCAACTCTTCACAATATCAATACAAATCGAATATTTTTGAATCATTTAAATTAGTAAATAGATTTTTCCAAAAACAGTTATTGAACTTTTCTTACTTCATTTACTGGCAAAAAAAAATTGTATCCGAACACAAGATAAGGGGGCGCCCATTAATTACGTGAGGTTTTTAGGGAGAGCGGGGGTTTGACAAAAAATCACGAAATATCACGTGGGGGAGGGAGGAGTATAGTAAGATATCACGTATATTTATTTTTTAACTGATTTTGTTTTCAAATTCAAACATTTTCAAAAAAATCAAAAATTTTACAGTTTTATCGCGTAAATAAAAATACATGTGATGTTTAGCGAGGGAGGGGGGGGGTTAATTTTGAATATCACCATGCCTCAACAAGAAGGAGGGGGTCTCAAATCCTTAAAAATTGGACGCCCCCGAAGCACACATATACACGCATTTGTATTAACGAAATGAAGAACTATTCAATTTTTTTTATAAACGTGCTTCTATATTTTGTCTTTGCCCAGCTAACCATTGTTTTGAAAAAAATGTTCAAAATTTTCAAAAAAATTCAAAATATAAATAAATATTTCTAATTTTTAAAAAAGTCAATTTTTTCAAAAATTTCGAAATTCTCAAAAATTTAACTTTTTCAAAGTTTTCAAAAAACTTTGGGGACGTTCCTAGATTTTGCCTTAAGGCACGATGCCATTCTCCACTAGTTTTGTCATATTTTTGCGTATTTTGTCGAGAGTGGTCCTGTGACTCAATGTACATAAATGACATATAGCATTGCGGTTTTTCCTCTTGCAATAGTTTCGGTAAAACTATCCATATATTTAACTTAGCTTTTTTTGTATATTATGTAAACACTCATGCAGAAAGTGCCAAATTCATTTATATTTTTTTCATGAAACTTTTAGGTTACAAAGAAATGCCAAATGAGATTATGTAAATGTAAAAGAATTCGCCTGCTTTAGCAGAACCTTATTCATAGTGGTGTCTAATATAATAAATTTTAATTATTTATATGCCTTTATATATTCAATGCAAACTTGAAACCCAGACTAAAAATGCCGTTCAAGATAACACAATTTATATCTCATTAATCATAAAAATGCAATCTAGAAAAATCACTTCGTATGTCAATATTATCAACAAATATTAGGAGTTTGAAGCAATCTGGCCAATTTAGCCTAATTGATACCAATTATAAAAATATAATAATTGTAATATCAATTCAACAGTTTTTGTCGCTAAAACAAATTGCATCAAACCGATACTAGATTATCAATATCGATACACAGCCAATACTAGATGAAGTTAAAAGTAGAGAAATAAAAAAAAGTCAAAAGCAAAAATTCCTGTTAAAATATTAAGTCTATTTTCTGTTAGAAGAGAGGACCAAAACCAAAATCATAGATTGGTTGTTGGTTCGACCATTAATTAATCAAGTAAGTCATAATGTCATAATTTAGCCAAAATCAAAGGGTGAAAATAATTACCGAAATTCAGCAGATGATGCAAAAAATTTAACCTATTATAAATAAAACTGATATGATGGCCCATATTATAGTTTGAATTTTATTTTACTAAAATTAATTATTAAATTAACTAAAAGATTAAATTGTAGAGTATGTATATTATTTTTCAATCAATTAAATGAAAGTAAACTATTACTTCAAGCTGTCTCGCTATGATAACAGTCCTAGATTTTTTCGTTACCCAAATAGATAAAGAAAATGCGATAAACGCAGGTTTTGTTTACTTGTACGAATATTTTATATATTTGTATAAAAAGTCAGCTCTATTAGATAAATTCTAATAATAAAGTAATCAGATATGGATGGGTCGACCGTTGGGTTACCATCTAAAAATTCGGGGAAAGAAGTAGTTTCAGCTTAACGCTTTTTAGGATATACGGTTCTAATTGCCGTTAAATATGATAAAAAATTATATATTTAATTTAGGCTATTTTTTATCAAATCTATTAAATCCATGTAAAGTGGTTAAATTTTGTTAACGGTACTTGGAAAACTAAAATTGCGTTCGTCTTCACCAGCAGTTAACAATTTTTTTAAAATAGCTCAAATACAAAAATTCTACAATATCTCTTCAATACTTTACATTGTATTTATCTAAAATAGTTTGTAGGGCAATTATAATTCAGGTGAGATAAACATTTCGAATAATGTTAGAAATTATATATTTATTATAAAGTTTCGAATAATGAATCAAATGCAAACCATTATCATCGACAACAATAAACACAATATCCTTGAAGTAATTAGGTTGCACATATTTAGAATAATAAAAATCTCGCACGTAATCAATTCTCAATAGAGTGTAGCAAACTTAACAATAAATGTAGTTTAATATAAGAAAATAGTGCAAATATATAATATTAAATAGTTAGATCTTGCAAACAGTAAATTACTCTGTCCGATAAGAATGCAAGAAAGATTCATATTAGAATTTTTGGTACAACGAAAAACTATTTTAAACTGCACAATTCATGAAAGACATTTAGAGTAAGTAATAATGTTTAAATATATTTATGTTTAAAAATATCATTGACACTGAAAAATATTGTTAATAGCAAATATTAATTCCAAAATTTATAAGCACACGACATAAAATTTAAGGACAGTGCCACATAATTTTTTTTAAATTATGACTTTTATTCTGAAAGGAAACTTAATCTGAGACTTATTGTATTACTACAAACTTAAAATATGAAATTATGTAGGAACTTAAATACGAATAAAATTTTAGAGAACGTTTTGGTGATAAATATCATAATTCAAAATTTTTAAAAAAAGACATCAAGAAAGAGATAGATATTCACATTATCAAAGCTTTGACAGATCTATATTTTAAATTTTACCTCAAATGTAGAATATATATTCGAATTCTAATAGTGTTCATTTATTATAGCTAAGAATAATGGTACAGAGAATCCTATTAGAATGATAGTCTTAATTAAAGGATAAATCAATAAGTATGCATATGTAAACATACATCATAAAGTTATGATGAATTAATAAGACGAGATGTTTTATTTGTAAATGTGCTAGACGAAAATGTAAATCCCATTTATAATTTAAATACTTAGTTGTATAGACAATATTTCTGAAGACATAGTTAAACACATATTACTAAAAATTAATTTTTTATTTTATAAAAAGTTATTGTGGTAATATATATATATATATATATATATATATATATATATATATATATATATATATATATATATATATATATATATATATAACAGACAACCTGACTTCGTGCAATAGCGATGTCGGTTTTCACTTCGAAAATATAAATCGAAAACATAGAAATCTTTCCTGAATCAAGCTGAAATTTAACTCAAATTACAAAACTGCCCTAGGGCAGTACTACCCATTATTATTAGATATTTACTCAAGCTCTCTTTAAAAATCTGAGTCATGCTGAAGTGACATCCATTCCCGAACTAAGATCAAAAATATGTTTCAATTAAGAATAAAAGTTTTGGGCACTACGGTGTAAAAAGGCAATGGGACATTTTTTGCACGTTATTTCCTTAAATCTAGTTGGAATTTATCTCAACTCACGGATCTGCTCCGGAAAAGGAAGCCAAAATATATTATATATATATATATATAAGATTTTCAGCCACAAGTGAAAAAAAAGAAGGAAAGTAAATACAAAATCTTCTTCAATTGTACGTTTCGAGCTATTATATTAGCTCATCATATTTTTTATTTTAGCTGAATGTAATGTAATGCTAGTATAATAGCTCGAAACGTATAATTAAAGAAGATTTTGTATTTACTTTCTTTCTTTCTTTTTTCGACTTGTGGCTGAAAAACCTTAACAATACGTTTCAAAGTCGAAATAAACAATTTCAAAATTAAATATATATATATATATATATATATATATATATATATTTGTGTGTGTGTGAGTGTGTGTTTATATATTTGTAAGTGCGTATATATATGCATGTATATACGCATTTGTCCATTACTACATGCCCACTATTGTATATTGTAGTCCACGATCAAAATATAATAAAAAATATACACAATGCACAGATAGACACATATAAATAGGTTTCTAAGATAAGCGTTTGTATTGTACACCTTGTACCCGCCTACTTGTTGATGCATATTTGTATGCGTGCTTTTGTTTGAACAAGATTAATTAGTAAAGAAATAATAAATTAGTGGCAATAACCTAATATCATTTTTATTCGTCAGTGCTGAAATCCCAAAGCTTTAGTTTGCGTGATAAACATTAGGTTCTCGCGTGCCTTATTGCTTTATAGGCACAACTGACACCTGTTACACATTTATTCACATTGAATCACTTACATTTAACGTCACGTTTAACAAACACGGTCGTCACACACGTAATGGTATGATGGTCACAACTAGAGCACTTGATAATCATTTACAAAAAGCGCATTTGTATCAAATTCCGAAGAGAACAATTTCTGCTTAAGCAACTAAACCGCGCCACTCATGAGTTGAGTTTGCTGCATATGATATTTCACACAGGTGACCTCACGGCGGGTACAGTCCGTCGAAGAGAAGCGGGTTTTCTATGCGGCTCGACCGCAGCTTCGGGCTTCGCTCTTCGCACAGAGCTAACCAACCCAACCCACGGCGGACACACGATACACAAGACACGGGACATCATTTATTTACACTTCTCGGCTTATTTACGCCTTTCTTAACACAATTGCTTCATTTACGAATATTTTAGCGATACACAATTTTAAAGCATTTCCTGCTGTCGAAGATGATTTTGTTGATCTTGCAATAAAATAAAAGCAAATATAACTAACAACTAGCATCATGCTGAAACTTCCGTTACCGCAATGAAATATTCAAGGAATTTCAAATGATTCCAAATATATTATTATTACTACTGTAACTTTCATTATTCGTATTCAGCTTATGAATAAACTTGCACTTAATATCCGAAACTTAGACAACAACTAGTGGGGCGCATGGCATCGTGACTTAAGGCAAATTGCTGGAACTTCCCGTACCAAATATTATTATTTTTTTAAAACCGATTAACCTTTTTGAAAAAATTTGACTTCGAAAAAATTAGATTTTTGAGAAACTAGGAATTTGACAAAAAATTACTATTTTTGAAAAAAACATTTTTTTTTGAAAAAAAATGTTTTTATTTTGACTATTTTGGAAATTCTGAACTTTTTTTCAAAGCAATCGTACTGCTTTAACTGCATAGACACAAAATGTCAAAGCGCGTAAGCGCCACGTCGCCGTCTAACGAATAAACATTAGTACGGAACCCATAGAAATGCAAACAAAATTTATACTTATTGTTAAAATCTCTATAAAATATCTGGTAATTTGACGTGCATATGTCTAATGATCATTTTTGACCGCCAAATGGCATTTTTTTTTTACTTTTTTTACTAAATCTCCGAAACCGCTAGACCTGCCTTCATGAAAATTTGATCAGTTCTTCATCTTGTTAATACAAGTAAATGTTTTTGAATTATTCAAATCGGACGCTCCATTCTCTTAAAAACTGAGTTATCGTTTTTGGCACTTTTTGCCCCGTATCTCCGGAACGGCTAGACCTGCCTTTGCCAAAAACTATTCACACGTCTCCTTATCAATACGAATCGAATGTTTTTTGAATTATTCAAATTGCGTCATCTGTGTTCCCGAAATCGTCGACGAAAATTTGTATCCGAACACACACACACACGCGCACACACACACACACACACATACATCCATTTTTTCTAAGGTATGCCAAAATATTCAAAAACCTCTGAAACGTAAAGATATATAAAAAATTTCATTTTCGATTTTTTTGCGATTACTATAACTTGCCTTACGAAAAGTTAATAAAAGCAAATTTAACTAACAACTAACGAGCATCGTGCTGAAACTTCCGTTACCACAATGAAATATTCAAGGAATTTCAAATGTTTCCAAATATATTATTATTACTACTGTAACTTTTATTATTCGTATTCAGCTTATGAATAAACTTCCACTCAAATTCCGAAACTTAGACAACAAAAAATTCCATGCTTCCCTAGTTAAACTTTTCAAAAAAATAGCTTTTTATGACATTACTGAATTTTCTCAATTTAATTTCAATAACTATTTTCTTAGCCTGACCATTTGATCCCCTGTACAACCATCTTTTTTATTCATGTTTATTTATGATAATTTTATTTATAAATAAATTTAATTGTATTTATATTTATATAATTTTTATAGCTATTTTATTATTTTAATTTTTACGGTTTTAACACTATCAACCTTGTGCAAGAATTTTGAGCTTGACTGGTGGTCTAATGAACTTTAATATGATGAATTTGATGATGAACATTGTATTTAATTTTCGAAGCTTTTTTTCAGCTCTTTTTTCAGAAGCAAAAATCGTGCAGCTACTATGAATATTATAAAATTATTTTCCTTTAAGTATTATTTATGAATAAGTTTGACAAGAGCCTGACACCTGTTTTATTTATTATTATTGATTACGGCTTGCTTATGAATAAATAAATAAAATAAATATTTTATAGACAAAATATAAGAGCTTATAAATTGAACGACCACGTTTATATAAAGTTCACATAAAAAGTAAATGAACAAAACTTAATGAAGGGGAGTTAGAATAAAAAACTGTCTCTCTCTCTAAAAATTATTTAAAACAAATGGTAACGGTAAAATTATATTCAAGTATGTAAATGAGCATTAAATTTTTAGCTAGAATTAAAGTTAAAATTCTAATCATATTAAATATTAAAAAAAAATTAGATTTTTTTTTCATATTTTATAAAAAAAATTGTTTTTGCCTTTCCAAACAACTAATCTTTTCTTTAGACTCAATACAAACAAATCATTTGAATCGCATGCTCCGTTTTCTCAAAAACTAACATTTTTTTATCTATATCTCCCACACGGGTGGACCTTGCGTTACCAAAAACTAACCAGCACGTCTCCATATCAATAGGAACCGAATGTTTTGTGAATCATTCGAATCGGATTCCACGTACTCGCAAAAAACAAATTTTTATTTTCAATTTTTGGACGATTACTTTATTTTACCATACCGGAGCTTAATAAGCATTCATAGTATTGTGCTTGCAGGTACATTGAAGAAACTTTTCTTTGTATAACAAATATTTGAATAAATTTTGAAAACTTAATTATGTAAATTTTTAATTTCTTTTTGAAACTTAAAAAAAATGATAAGAATTTTTTTTAAATTTTGATAAAACTAATCTTGAGAATTTTGAATATTTTTTTTTAATTTAATTTTTTTTTTTAAATTTTTGACAAATTTGAGTTTTTTATCAAATTAAAAAATTATAATAAAATGAGTTAATTTTAAAAATCATTGCGTAATGGTTCTGAACTCATAATTTTATTCCACAATAATTATTTTCAATTGGAGCAAAAAAATCTAACACATAGTCCTTTATTGGAGTTGCATTATAAAATTTATGTACCTTGATCAGAAATCTCGAGAAATTTGGGATATTAGCGAAAACATTTTAAATAATTGAAAATCAATTTAGAAAACAACATTTTATCAATTGGAGACATTATGAAGCAATAAAAATGATACTATGCAAATATTATAACGGTAAGCCAAAATAATATGCTTATTAATTAAGCATATAATGACCGGAATATTTGGCAGCTGTTAATAATTGTATATATATATATATATATATATATATACCATAAATTTTATATTTAAAATATATAGCACACAATTCGTCGAATTATGAAAAAAAATTCCAGTGTATACAATTTTTTTAGATATATTAAAACAAACAAATTAAATATGTAAAAACTAAACATACCAAATCAGACAGAACAAAAACACATAATAAAACTTTTTTTTTAAATTAAAATTTTAATCAACAAAAATTAATTTTAATTATAGTTAATTAAAGCGTTCAATTTAAAAAACATTTTAATTTGCTGTTTTGCTTCTGCCTAGCTTAGTATGTATATTTTTCACTTAATAAATTTATAAAAACAACGTTTATGTTTAAAAACATATGCTTACTGAACATTTTTTTGCTGTAATTTATATTTACTGATCAAAGTCACATGTCAATTTTTTAAATAAAAAAGTGAAAATATTACTCCAAAAATGTATGTACATTTACTTGCAAAACTATCACATTAATTCAAAATATTTTTCCAAGAACCACTATTTAATTTCTTTTTAATAATAATTAATGGCAGCAAAAGGATGAATTTGACGCTAATAAAAATGTCAAAAATACCTACAAAATGGAAAACACAGATACAAAAAACAAAAATAATAAAAAAATCCGGTTTTTGGAAAGAATATATTAAGAAATTACATGATAAAGAAAATCATTTGAATACATTGCGATGGAAGGGAAAAAGATATAAAGGCAAAAACGATAAGGGAGTAGCATATTAGTGAAGTGGTGAGATGCCTCGTCGCGCAGCACCGATATAAGAAGAAATGGGCAAATCGCTGATCTAAATAGGGAAGTGCAAAGTGTAATAAAAACAGTGATCATTGAAAGATCAGTCTGATATCAAAAAATTATTTGCTAAAATCCTTACTCAACGACTTCATTAATATTATCGGCATTGAATGAAGGGATCGTGATAGATCACGAAACTGTATCTGAAACAGAAAATGAAGTTTAGTATGGATAGTGTAGATAGGTGATTCCCAAACTTATTTCACCTACCGCCCCCTTTCCAGAAAAAATGTTACTCAGTGCCCCCCTTACAAACTTTCCGAAGGAGAAGTTTGTTTTCATCAAAAAATCCGATTCGCTAATTTTATGTTTTCTCGACGTTTTAAGCCATTCTGAATCGAATGAGACCAACAATTGGAAAGCAGTATGTGTGTGTGTTCAGATTTTTTGCCGTGAATCGTCGTTTTCTCAAAAATGGCTAGACCGATTTCAAAAATTTAAAAGCCATTCGATGTATGTCAATGAGGACTAACGTTTTTCAGTTTTGTTTGACGATCGGCCGAGCCGTTTCTTTGTAAATCGCAGAAAAGTGAAAAAAATTTTGTCCACGTTTTAGCCCGCAATTCTGAATCGATTTTGAAAATTCAAAAACTGTTCGAAACATATTGGTTGGGAATCGACATAATTAGTTTTTGGTAATGATCGGCCGGGCCGTTTTCTTATGATAAAGTGTTTTTATTAATAAAAGTAGTAGTAATTATTGAGTAATAGTAATTTTTTTTGACAATGTTTATGTTTTTTTTTTTGACGGTAGATACCACAGTCTTATAGATCATACTAAAATATTGCGGTCCTACACGACAAGTCGTTAAATTTTGAAAATTCGTCAAAGTTTGCAAAAATTGGTATCATTTTTATGGCGTTTGTCAAAATTAGAACTTTCAACGATGTTTGCTTGAAAACGCATAAACCGATTTTAAAAATTTAGAAGCCAATCGATGTATTTCGATTATAATTTTAATGTGAGGAATGGCGGGGGGGAGGG